ATTAATCGTCTGGGTGTGCTCTAGATAACATGTTATAAGTCATCCAATGTATATAAAAAAAATATATCGAGCGAGTAAGAGAAAATCTCTTATTATTGCTCAAAATAATAAAAAAAAAACCTTATTAATGACATTAAGTGACACAATATACGATTGTGGAAGTGTGAACAATATTTGTGATTAAAAACGTAAGTACAAATAGTAATAATCATAATAATGAGTTTTAGTTTTTTATGAGAAGGCGAACTATTTGTATTTTATTTGCAAGTATAATTTCAGCCCAAGAGTAGCCCTAGTTTAATTTCGGTAAAGATCAGCCGGGCTGTTTCTCTTCAATACATTGTTAGACTATTTTTTGTCAATTTTTATGTTTTATGATAATAAAGTTCATGATTTTAAAGAACATCTCAAAATAATTTCGGATTGTAAAAAGTGATTTAATTATAGCCGCCTCATAAATTTCAAATTTGAATCGTCACTTGAAGAAAAGTTGCTAAATCTGAATTGTTATTTATAAGTCGGCAAGTTCATGCAACTTGCCTTCATAGATAATGCCACTTACAATTATCTGTATTTGTTTTGTTTGTAAATGTTTATTTTGTTAATTTTTTTTTATAAAGGATGGATGCAGAAACGTATGAGAGAGTAGCCACATATGGTATGACACTGTACGTTTTACAAATTGTCACTCCTTTAGCAATCGTATTGCTTGGAATCTTGGGTAAGTAGAAAACTCAGTATGTAATGAAATGATGTTTTTAATAGTCAATTCAAATAACAATTTCTGCGTCCACAAAACGTTGTCCTTTCACTGCCAACTAATGACTTGTTGTACTGAATAATATGTTAATTAATAATGCAATTAAATTCTAATTAATTTCACAGTTTATATATTCTACAAAAAAAGAAGGAATGGACGCGACTGCATGAAAATACCACTCAAGGATATTGAGTTTCTTGAAAAATTGGCCAGTGGCAACTTTGGCACTGTGTATCGAGGCCTCTGGAAAGGCAGAACAGAAGTGGCCATAAAAAAATTGGACAAAGCAGATATAAAGTCGATTAATGATTTTGAGCAAGAAGCGTCGATTATGAAAACAATGAGACATAAAAATATATTATCATTATTGGGAATTTATCAAACTAAGGAGGAGTTGTACATAATTACCGAGTACATGAAATATGGCTCAATGCTTAATTATTTGCGCAAGGAAGGCGAAATGTTGAAGAAAGTCGATTTGTACGAATTTGCCGAACAGATTGAATGCGGCATGGTTTATATGGAAGAGCAAAAGTACATCCATCGAGATTTGGCAGCCCGCAATGTTCTAGTGGACAATTTGTTCCGTGCCAAAATCTGCGACTTTGGTCTCACCAGAGCAATTCAGGACGAGATTTACGAATCTAGAAGTCGCGTCTGTGCCCTGAAATGGACAGCCCCGAGGCTCTGGAATTCCAAAAGTATACCCACAAATCGGATGTTTGGAGTTATGGAATTGTACTCCACGAGATATTCTCTCTGGGCAAAATACCATACCCTGGAATTAATGGATTGGACATACTTGATCATCTGAGGAATGGACATCGGATGACAAAGCCGGATTTGGCCAGTGTGGAAATTTACGAGTTAATGATGAAGTGTTGGAATTGGGATGTGGGCAGAAGGCCGGAGTTTAGACAGATTCATCAGTTCATGAAGAATATATGTGCTAATGAAAATATGCTTAACGGTATATATTTGAATGAAGATACGTTTGCAATATATATAAATGCGTAGGGCCCAATTTTATATTACTATTATTTTAACGTCTTAAACATGAACTATGAATTAAGATGCTGCAAACAAAATGACAAAAATAAAAAATCTGACTTTCGAATTTTATCAATATTAGGTTCGGAATATTCTTACATATATATTTATTAGATTTATGAGTGTATAAAAATATACAATGATAATTTTGTATCTATTTCTGCATTTTGATTGATTGGTTTTAACGAGTGATTAAAAAATTGTTCTAAATCTAGACCATCGCATACCTGCAAAATGTGGAAACTTCAGTATTCTAGACATATTTTTTGGATGCATAGTTATATCTTCTTGTATTCTTATATTTGGATGCATAGTTATATCTTAACTCCACCAGCACATTTTAAAAGCAAAATGCAAAATTCTTCATCAGCTCTACAATTACTCGTCTTTTGCCTTTACAAATCTCTGAAAATTTCGAAAACAATGTTAATGAAAGAAATACTAAATTATTTATATTTTTTTTAACAAATTATATATTTGAATTCTCACAATGCTGATAATATATGTGTTGTTGAAGGACAAGAGATATTATAACACAGGCCTACAAAAATTTTTTTTTTGTTTGGTGCATTAAATGTTAGAGCTGATTCTTAGTATAGTATAGTATAGTATTTTTGCGCTGATTTCAAATCTGCAAACCATTTTTTTGTATCAGCTCTAGTCTGGAACTTGGAAAAAAATTGCCGAAACCAGGTACATTTTAGGTCGTCAAGAAAAAGAGCTTTTCACAGAGTCAACTAATGTCCCAACTAAAGCCGAATGGGTCTTGTAAGTTTGTATGTACGAGTAGGTATATCTCATTAAAATAACATTCCGAATTGTATTACTATTTTGTACTTTCATTCCTTATATAACATATATATCATATCTTGAAAACTAAAGCTCATAGAAAAAAACCAATGTCATTTTTGAAATCAGCGCCTCAAATATACTTAAAAACAGCATTAAAATCCTTTGCACCATTTTTTTTGTTGGCCTGTATAATCTATCGTACTTGTTTAATTTTAACTATTTTTTTATAATATTCCTAAAGTTTTTGAGAGAACGGAGTATCCGATTTGAATGATCCAAAAAACATTCAATTTGTAATGATCGAGAGAAATGGTGATTAGTTTTTGGCAGAAACAGGTTAAGCCGTTTTGGAGATACGGATCTAAATGTGCAATAAATGGCAGTTTTTGAGAGAATTGAGCATCCGATTTGAATAATTCAACAAACTTACTGCTCGTGTTGACAAAATAATTGCTTTTGGATTTTTTTTTTATTTTAAGATTATTTTTTTTTTTCAAAATTAATTCAGATTTTAATTTTAATTGTGGCTAAAGTTCTAAAACTCACCTATATACTTTAAATAAATAATTTTAACATTGCAATTCAGTTTATATAATTCCTATAAAAATTAGTAAATGTTACAGTATTTATAACAATCTATTTGAAAACATTTAATATTCCTCGAACATCTCATTACGGTACGGGAAGATCCAGCAATTTGCCTTAAGGCACGATGCCATATACTACTAGTTTACAATTTTTATAAATAACATTATATTTTTTTTACAACTCAATATCCTTATATCAAATAATTATTTTCGACCACAAACCGTTGACAATTTCAGACACCTTTTCTTTATCTAGAACCTGCATTTACCAAAAGCTTGATGAACACTGCAAATTGTCGATACAAATCGAATGTTATTTTAATCAAAAACTTTGAATAAAATATTCATGCAACAAGTGAATTACTTCAAATATGAAAAATTATCAAGAACATAAATATTTACTAAATTAATAATTTTCTTGAACTTACGATTTCAAGAACTTATTGTTAGTTTAACGGAAATAAAAGATATAAAATGATTTCAAATCATTGACTTTGTCACAATATATCTGTGCATCAGATAACGTGTTATAAGTCATCCATTATATAAAAAAAATATATCAAACAAATCAGGCAAAATCACTTATTCTACAGATAATTTTTTTATTAAATACATTAAGTTATTTAGTGCGCGATTGTAGAAGTGTGAATATTGTTTGTGACTAAAATGTAAGTAGAAATAGTAATAATCATTATTTAATGAGAATGTGAACTATATGTTATTTTATTTGCAAATATAATTTTAATAAAATAATCAAAACCTGTTTGATAGATATACTTTAAGAGTAGTCCTAGTTTGGTAAAGATCAAACCGGGCTGTTTCTCTTTAATAAATTGTTAAAATATTTTTTGGCTATTCTGAGGTTTTATGATAATAAAGTTCATGATCTTAAAAACATCCCAAAATAATTGCTGCTTGTAAAAAGTGATTTAATTATGAAAGTTCATTAGAATTTGCAAAAATGCGCCACCTCATTAAATTTCAAATTTGTAGTGTCACATGTAGAAAAGTTGCTAAATCTGAATTGTTATTGATAAGTCGGCAAGTTCAAGCAAATTGCCACTTACAATTATCTGTATGTGAACAAACATTTTATATATATATATATATATATATATGTATATATATATATATGTATGTAATATTTTTGCAGCCTAATCGTCTAATTAAAAAAAATATTAAAGAACAAAATTATTTATTCCATTAAATGTTTCGACACTTGATGTGTGTTATCATTCAGTAATCTAAAAAACATATAACATAAATACAAGGTTGATGATAATTATAAACATATAAAGAAAGGAGGAAATTATACCTACCAAACCAGGAAAAACAACAGAAAAAAATAATTACGATGTAAAATTGATTGAACACTAAATTTGTGTAAAATAGTAATATACTATTATATTAACAAACGAGAAATTGAAGGAGCAGATATTGCCCTCCTATAGTTTATGTTATTAATAGCGGTGCATTATAGACACTGATCAAGGTTACAACGCAAGTGTAGTGAGGAAGTGGGAGCGGGTTGTGAGAAACGAAAGGGGAATGTTATATATCTTTTAGATTACTGAAAGATGACACACATCAAGTGTCGAAACGTTTAATAGAATAAATAATTTTGTTATTTAATCTTTTTTTTTAATTCGACGATTGGGCTGCAAAAATATTACAAATATGTATCAACGTCGACAAAACAATATATATATATATATATATATATATATATATATATATATATGTTTATTTCGGTAAATTTTCTTTCATAATTGGTCTTTTTGTAGCCCTAATCCATCCTCAAACTTTGACAACATGGGGGTAGAAACGAATCCGAAGTGAGCTCATATGATAGGGTGCTGTTTGTTTTATGCATTGTGCTTCCTTTAGTAATCATATTGCTTGGAGCCTTGGGTAAGTGGAAAACACAGTATGTATGTAAGGAAATGTTTTTTTTCACTAGTGAATTCAAATAACAATCACTGCCAACTAATGATCATGTTGTACTGATTAATATATTAATTAATAATGCAATTAAGTACTAATTAATTTCACAGTTTATATATGCTACTGCATACAAACACCACGCAAGAAAATTGAGTTTCTTGAAAAATTGGCCAGTGGCAACTTTGGCACTGTGTATCGTGGCCTATGGAAAGGCAGAACAGAAGTGGCTATAAAAAAATTAGACAAAGCAGATATGAAGTCGATTAATGATTTTGAGCAAGAAGCGTCGATTATGAAAACAATGAAACATAAAAATATATTATCTTTATTGGGGATTTGTCAAACCAAGGAGGAGTTGTACATAATTACCGAGTACATGAAAAATGGCTCGTTGCTTAGTTATTTGCGCAAGGAAGGCGAAACGTTGAACAAAGCTGATTTGTACGAGTTTGCAGAACAGATTGCATGCGGCATGGTTTATATGGAAGAGCAAAAGTACATCCATCCGCGATTTGGCAGCCCGCAATGTCCTAGTTGACAATTTGTTCCGTGCCAAGATCTGCGACTTTGGTCTCACCCGAGCAATTCAGGACGAAATTTCGAATCTAGAAGTCGTGTCTGCGCCGTGAAATGGACAGCTCCCGAGGCGCTGCAATTCCAAAATACTCCCACAAATCGATATTTGGAGTTATGGGATTGTACTCCATGAGATATTCTCT